GGGGGGGGGGGGGGGGGAGATAGAGAAAGAAAGAAAGGAGGAAAGAAAATAGCAAATGTAAAACTTTGATCATTTGTTATCAGACTTGACATCAGCAGTGGCAAGTATACAATTAAAATAATCACAAAAAATTCCTTAGGTTTTCATGTTACAATACCAAATTATAACCTCTTTCAGAAGTATCCCATTTTGAGCTCTTGAGTCATTTTTTGATAGATATGATTTTGAAAACTCAGCATTTTTAAGAGTAGGAAGTAAAACTATCACAGTAGAGGAAAACAGAAAAATGAGATATAGAAGAAATATTTAGAAAACAAATGTTGATTTACTTGTATGGAAGGAAGAGAAGGCAGACTGTAGACTTTACATATTTCAAACTCAGCTTCTAGCTTCTCGATCTCAAAATCCCATTAATATTAGTTAAGCCTCACAATAATAGTCAAGGAGCATTATCATGCCTAGTTTACTAAAGAATAACCAATACATAAAGGGACTTTTAAAACACTGAGCTATGTAGTTGACTTGGTGACCTTATACTTTTATTCACTGCTATATCTAAAAGTATTCTCTGCCCATCACTCAAAAAGTAGCATTTACATTGTCTTCTCATCTTCTCTATACTATTTAAATGAAGTAATCTTTTTCAAACATTTAAAGGCTAGTCCTCACAAAGCAGTGGGAATAGAGAAGGAACAAAGTAGTCTGTAACTGATTGTGATCAACAAGTTGTAAACACCCACGCACTCAGACTGCCCTAAATAAGTAACTTTATTTGAATGTTAGCATTCTGAATTCAGCTCATTCTCTCCTCAGGCCCTGCACACTTGCCATACTTACCATGCTCTTCTTCTGGCTATTTGAAGTTGGTTCCCTTCACATAGTTACTGTCTCAGGTCAGATGTTACCTGCTTAGGGAGACGTCCCCGGACACACCTAGCTAAGTAGCGGCCTTCACTCTCCCAGATACTCTCACAGGACTACTGCATTTATTATCTGCAATTATCTTGTTAGCTTATTTGTTTATTGGCTTATTGTCCTTCTCTATCTCTCCCCAGCTAAAATGTTAAGTTCTGTGAGGACAGAAACCTTGAACATCTTTTTTATCACTGTATACATCCAATGCCTAGAATAATACCTGGCATGTAGTAGGTATTAACAAGTTATTTTAATGAATTAATTTCACTGACTATATCTGATAAATATAAACTGCAAAGGCATTCTTCATATTTAGTTGAGCAAATTTACTTCAAATGCATGATATATTTCATCACGTTACTGAGAATGGCAAAGAACAAAAATAAATAAATAAAATTTTAAATACATAATGTTCATTGATTCATTCAACAAGTACTTATCAAGCACCTAGCACAGATCCTGTGGTAGGTGCTAGAAATACAACAGTAAACAAACAAAACAAACAAGGTCTGTGTCATCATTGAGTTTACATTCTTGATTTAACTTGAACCAGTATAATGAAAGAAAAATTCAAGAAAAACAATTGTTTAAAATATGAGCTAGGCCAGGAACAGTGACTCACACCTGTCATCCCAGTTCTTTGGAGGCCAAAGAGGGAGGAATGCTTGAACACAGGAATTTGAGACCAGCCTGGGTAACATAGTGAGACCTCATCTCTTCAAAAAAATTTTAAAAATTAGTTGCCTGGGGTGGTGTGTGCCTATAATCCCAGCAACTTGGAAGGCTGAAGCAAAGGGATCGCCTGAGTCCAAGAGGTTGAGGCTGTGGTAAGCCATAATCATGCCTCTGTGTTCCAGCCTGGGTGACAGAGTGAAACTCAAATAAATAAATAAATAGATAGATAGATAGATAGATAGATAAAATATGAGCTAAACCAAGAATTGTGCATACATGGAAAAAAACATGAAAAGGGAAGGAGGCATTTCTGTGCTGGGCCCCACATCAGGGGTATTATCCACATTAGCTCACTCAGTTCAGTTTTTCAACAATCCAACAGGAAAGACAAATCACCTAATCTTATAGTTGAGAAAATTTAAACTCAGAGAGTAACTTGTCCAAGGTCATGCCACTAGGTAGCAAATCGCTAGACGTGGTCTAATTCTACAGGTTGTGAATGGGACCTAAGATTCTGTATTCCTGACAAGAATGCTGCTGCCAGCCAACTGACCATATTTTGAAGAGCAAGGCATAGAAAACCACTGTGACAATCACTTTGAGAATGTGCCTTCAAAATGTGTAAGAAACAAAGATGGTAAAAGCAGAATATGAGCAGTGGGAAATACATGACACAATAAATGCTCGACAAATGCTTGCTGAATTAATGAATGAAGCAAACAATTCAATAAACTATTAAATGTGAAATCTGAGCCATTGACATTTCTTAGAACTCTTTTTAGTGCTTCATCAGATCTTGCAATTTTTAACCATAGAGCTATAGCAATTCCAAGTTTCCCACGCAGTTATGACACTTGCCCAGATTCAGTATTCTGGGTATCTCTGATATGATCTCTTTGCCACATTTAGGAAGAAATGATTAAGATAGGAGTCAATCATAATATTGAAAGACACAACTCCCAATGCCATAATACTGAGTGTTAAACTCTTGAAAGACCAAAATCCTGAAAATATAATTCTGGAAAAAAGAACTTTAAAATTCTTTTTTTTTTTTTTTTTTTTT